AATTTTATTAAGTATGGGTATATTTCTAAGATAAAAAGATTCACTGACACAAATTATATATTATTATATCATTATCTTGAAAATGACAAAAAAAAAATTGACTCATTTTCGCTTGAGACTCCCCATATATAGATCAATGTATAAAATCTCAAATATCATTTGTTAATTAGAAAGCATGATGATCAGAAAAAATTTTCTATATAAAAAAATTTAATTGTAAAAATTTGTAAGATAGCCAGTTTAAGGGATAACATTTTAACATTATATATTTTTATTGTCTTTGTTACACAATATGGTATGATATTCATGATATTTCAGTCAGGATTATTACAAAATTTGGAAATCGAATCTAGAAAAATTGGAACTCCTTTGTCGATCAATTCATATGTGTGGCAAACAAGTTAACATGATATTTTGCTGCCTTTTGAAAATCTTTTTTTTTTAATTATAATAATAATAATCAAAATAAACAGTATTGAACTTGCTTTTTCATAATCTACTAAAAATCTACAAAAACCTATTAATTTGTTCAAAGTAAGCCTTTACATAAATTTAAAGAAATTTAAGTGCCAGGAGTTTAAATTTTAAGTTTTTTTTCTTCTCTTTGAACCTTAGTGGTAAAACATCAAGATCAATTGCACTTTCTGCACTGAGAAATATCCAGAGAATCATTTGAGATAAATATGTTAAATGCAATAGGGAATAAAGTAAAGATCATTTGAAACTATTTGTTAAATATTTATTCAAAGTGCTTTTACAAAATTGAATGATGTAACAAATTCTCAATAATTTATTCATATTTTATAGTTCCCATTGTATTAGAATTATTTACAAGTGATGATGAAAACAATTATAATAGTGAATTAATTATAAGCAGGTAAAGAAGTAATATAATATATATATATATATATTCAGCCTCTTAACTGACCTCACCTAGCTAGGATATATACAAAATTTAGCATAGACTTTATTTATACCAAAAAGCTTACAAATTAATTTATAACTATAATATATTTCATGATACTATTTATTAATTTTATTAATTTTAATAACAAGATTCCTGACGAATAAGAATGAATAACAGGTTGATAACTCAAACATTTCATCAGTATTATGAAAAAAGTTATTGTGTTTTTATGGTAATTTTATGATTATGATTTGAAGCTATTGATTATTTTTTGATAGATTTGTAAAGCAGTTAAAAATAAACGTAATACATAAATTTTGGAGGTTATATGACCATTTAATAAAGCCTTTGCCACGTTTTCTTCATAAAAAAGCTTTATTTTTAATTTATTTTTTTATCAATTTTTTTCAAAGAAAAGATCTGCATAAAATTAGCCAATCATTTTTGGTTTGTTTTTTTTCTAAAAGATTTCTAGATTGTCTATCCTTACAGTATTTGGAAATTCCATATTTGGTAATAATCCTGACTGTATTTGGATAATATTCATGATATTTGATCATTTTATGATATTCGAATATCATGAATACAAACACTAGTTGTAATCACATTTTGTAGATTCTAAAATATGATATGTCAATATTTTCTTGTAACTCATAGCACGGATCTTTCCATAAATGGTATGATCAACGAGTACCCACGGTATTCACTATCTGGATATATACAGATATTTCTATTATGAGTACACTATTAGTGCAATAGCAAATGAATATCTCATTATCATCACCAAGTTTTGATTTATTATTAACAAGATCCCTGACTTTGTTATGAATCAAAGTCAATCGAAAAATCCATAATTAAAAATATTAAAGTTACTTGGGATATGGTATTTTATTTTATTTTTTATATTTTTATAAATAAAAGAATAAATGAATATAAAAAATAAAAATTTATATCTAAAAATTATTTAATAAATAAAAATATTATTAGAAGCCAATAATTGAAACCTTTAAACTTGAATCTATTTATAATAAAATGATGATGATAAAGAAAGTGAGCAAAATCAGTAGTGGAAATGGTTATGGATATTGATTATCCTGTTACAAAGATACAAATTAAATCAAAAAAAATTTCTATATATAAAGTTTTATATTAAAAAAAGTTGGTAGTAATATACTTAATATACTGTAAAATTGAACTAATACTCAGAGAATTCATTGATTCTGGATATAAAAGGTATATATTATTAAAAAAAAATAGATATATATAATAGTGAAGAATTATTTACAATATTTTTATATTTGAATATTAAAATAAAAAAATAAAACCAATAATATCACCAGTTTTTTGGATAATACTTGTTGTGTCTGTATACATGTTCTTGAATTATATTTATTGAGGTGGCTGATTTTGAGGTGGTTGTGGTGATGGTGCAGTTTGTTGTTGTTGCTGTTGCCGCTGCTGTTCTAATATTTGTTGCTGTCTTAACATTATATAATCTGATGGAAAAGTTGGAACATTTGCTGCTGATTGAAGTTGAATTAAGTGTGAATTTGAACTTTGTCCTTGTTGATTGATAATATTGAGTCTTTGAATCTGTTGAGACAAATTCTGTGGCATTCTAATCATGGGTTGCTGTTGTGTATTTTGAGGATTTGAGTTTGGTTGAGGTGATTGCTGTTGTTGCTGCAGCAATGCTTGTAGGATTTGATATGAACTACTTGCATTTTGTTGTGGCTGTTGATTTTGCATTGACTGTAACAACATTTGTTGTTGTTGTTGATAATGTCTTGTCATTAATTGTGGCCGTTGCTGTAATTGCTGCAGTTGCTGCTGTTGAAGTTTTCGTTGAAATTCCTGTTGCATATGTTGAGGCAATTGTCGTATCTGTTGCTGTAACTGTAATTGTTGTTGTAATTGTGGCTGATTTTGTTGTATTTTTATTTGCATCTGTGGAACTTGTGTATGTGTGATTTGAGCCTGTGTTTGTTGAAGAATTGGAGATTGTTGTTGTGGAATTGGAGATTGTTGTTGTTGTTGTTGCTGCTGCTGATGTTGCTGTTGCTGCTGTTGTTGTTGCTGCTGCTGCTGTTGTTGTTGCTGCTGCTGCTGCTGCTGTTGTTGTTGTGATGTGCTAGCAACAGGTAAAGGAGTATTAAGAAATAGCATTCCCACCAAAATTCTCTTTAAACCTACAAAAATAGCAATACCACCATTTGGATTTGGGGCTTTAGGGAAACGAATTGTAAGTGCATATTTATTTTTTTCTAAAAAATCAACCATCCCTTTGAATTTTGAATCCTCTTGATTTGGAGTGGGAAGTAGTGAAACCACTAACGAACTAGTTCCAGCATCTTTTATATCTTTAATTGGAATAGCTCCTGATATCTCCATTTTTTCAGGCCAATATTGAGTCATGAAGTCAGTTGGCATGTGTTTTCCAAGTTGATATGGGATAACATTTACATGACAGTTTAATTCATTTTGCTTCCACACAATATTACCATTCCATATAGATATCGAAATAAGTTTTTGAGGCATGGGTATAACATTTTGAGTATTTATATTAACATTTGGATTAGGTGAAAAGGCATTTAAATTGGAAGGTGAGGTTGTTGATCCTGTAGCAATAGCATTGTGACTAATAATATTGACATTAGCAGCAGCATTAGTTGGTAAACGTGGCGAAGCAGTAGCAATAGTTGCATTAGTTGAAGCTGTCATCATTTGTGCTGCCATTTGATTTGTTGTAGAGTTGTTGACACTAGTAGCAGCATTCATGAGGTTGAGATTATTGTTGTTATTAATGACGGTAGGGTTAGTGACAGTTGTAGTACTAATAACATTATTGTTGTTGATATTATTAATAATAGGAGTACCAGGTTGTGGATTTTGTGAGTTAACATTGGTCATTGTAAATCCTTGTCTGTTCATACCACCATTATTGTTAGTACCATTCCCACTGTTTGTTGCTGTACTCAAAGGATTGAAATTAGTTAGGGAATTATTGAATTGTTGATTAAATGCAACCTGAGGTGTTTGCTGCTGTTGATTTTGCAAAGGAGTATGGATGTTCAAATGGGATGCAGTATTTTGTGTTAGTTTGTTCTGAAGCAGTTGTTGTTGTATCAGTTGTTGTTGAGTGCTGTTGCTCAATGCTGGATTTCTTAGCAATTGAGCAGCAGCAGCAGCATTTTGACGACTGTAAATTGCAATTAATTGATTACGTCTTTCAGGTGTTATGTTTTTGTTGTTGATTAAATTGGCAAGATTTTGTTGATTATGTAAATTTTTATACATGGCAGCTTGTTGAGCAACTGTTTGTTGAGCAGCACCAGAAGATTGAGTATTCAAATTTTGTGCAGACTTTTGAGCATTTGGATTATTCATCCTATTCTGTTGCTGTATTTGTAATTGTTGAAATTTTTGGATTCGTAATTGTTGGTTCTGCAATTGTTGTTGTTGCTGCTGTTGTTGCAACTGCAATTGTTGTTGTTGTTGCTGTTGTTGTTGCTGGCGTAACTGTTGTTGTTGTAATTGTTGTTGTTGTAATTGTTGTTGTTGTTGTTGTTGCTGTTGTTGCAATTGCTGCTGCAATTGCTGCTGCTGCTGCTGCTGCAGTTGTTGTTGTGCTACTTGTGGAGATTGATGTTGTTGTGCTACTTGTGGAGATTGATGTTGCTGTGGTATTTGAGGAGAAGATGACAATTTAGGAGTTTTTTGTTGTTGAAGATTATTAGTATTAGTGGACTGAATGGATTGTAATTGAACAACAGTATTGTTTGGTTCAACAGAGAGAGTTTGAGAATTTTGTCTTTGAGGATTTGGTGAAGATAATTGAATGATAACAGGAGAATTTGATAATTTTGAAGGACTGGATTGTTGAATGGGTAGAGTAGTATTTATATTCATCTCCATATCATTTTGGCTTTGATTTGCATCAATTAAAGGTGTAGATGATGAAGATTGAATTAAATCATTTGTTTGATTGTTATTGCTACTATTTCCATTACCATTGATAGCATTGTTATTGTCATTGTCATTATCATTAGAACCAAGTCTAAGTCTCTTGGCACCATGAGGCAATGGGCTGTTGTTTTCTTGATTTGCTTTTTCACCAGTTGTATAATCATTGATATTATTATTAGCATTGGTGGCATCAATATCCATGTGAGTAGCAGGGTCAATATTTTCATTGCTATTAGCATTGTCATTATTTTTTTCAGCACTCAATTCATCTGGTTTTCTTTTTACTCCTATATTGGCTAAATAATACATATACATAAATATATAATTTCTCATTACCACCACCTAACATTTATCACATATCATGAAATGGTAAAGAGATGGAGTAGATCTTACCTTCTTTTTGTTTTGTAAAGCTTACTTTAAATCCTGCTAATTTGACTACATGTGAAGGTGCAACTACATCCTTGGCTGTGTAAACTTCTATATCATGGTTTACCTATATTATATATTATATTAATATATAATATATGATTATACTTTATATTATATTATATATGTAAGAACAAACCTTTACTACAACATTTTCTAATTCATTGTAACAACTTTGAGGCGTTATAAAAGAAAGACGGATATTTTTCTATTATCAATAGACCCCTCAATTTATAAGTTTACTTATTCATAAATTTCAGAAACAAACAATCAATCAATAAGTTGATCAGTCAGTTAGATACTTACTTTTTTCATTTCATCTATTATATTATCCATGGTAAACATATCATACTTGTCATGCAAATTGTGATGAACAGGATCAATACATGGAAGACTATTTGATATCAATATACAGTGTTTTTTTTGTATATTGGACCTTTTGTTGTTTCTTTCATACACATCAAACATCTATTATGATGGATAGAGGTGTGAAGATAAAAATATAATTGATGGATATATACTAATTCTATCATAATAATGATAGTATTTTTACCTCAAGAGCAGCAACTAATCCTTCAGCAACTGGGTTTTCATAGACTTTACCACCTTCAAAATCAATTGCTTTAATAAGTTCTTCAAACTCATTTAGTCTTGATTTGAAATAATGTGATGTTGTAACTCTACGGGAACATCGCCCATATCCCCCAAAAATAACTAATCCAAGATTTAATAATGGCTATAAAGAATATGTAATGTACATGTTAATTTTTCTCTTCCACTACTACTATTAGCAGTAGTTAATGTATAGATGTAATGTTTTTAATTATATACTTACAGCCATTCGATCTTTCTTTTCTGCATCTTCTTTTTCAACGATTATAGGTGATTTCAAATAACTGATTAATTTAAAAAATGGTTAATAGATTATTTATTAATTTAATAATAAAAAAAGAAGAATTAATAAATTACTTTAAGATAGGATCTAAGTATGCCTCTCGTATAGTTTCGAAATGTTCTTCAAGACGATAAGTGCCTTCTAGGACTACAACCACCAAATATTCTGGTGTTTGTGCAGTTATTGGAAACATTTTGTGATAATGAAAATTTTTTTTTGTAAATGTATTTATTTCCCCTTTTTTGTAATTTTTGTAATACGAATTACCCAATTTGTTTTTCTAAAAATTTGAGGTTCTAAATTAATAAAAAATGGTAAAAGCTGTTAAAGGTATTTTTTTACTTGTTATTAGTTTATTTAACAGTATTAATTAATATTGATATTAATAATAATATGTTAAAAAAGGTGCCAAGGTTAAATGGTAAAAGATCTAATTTTCCTTTATTTCCTTTCTTTTTTTGCCAATTTTCTATTTTAATATTCATTTCTTTTGTTGTAATATATTTGTAGTGACCCAACAGTTAAACAATTGATTTATAGATTGAATGAAAAACACAAATTTATAATAGAAGATTTGGACGATAATCATTTATTTGTTGATGCTAATTATGTAGAACATATCAAAATTGAAGTGGAAAAATTATTGGAAGAGAATACATATAAAATTGAACCACCAATTACTCAACAATAATTTAATAGATAAATAAACAATGTCTCTTGTGTTCTTTTCAGGATAAAGATAATTTAAATGTTGTTGGAACATAGAATGATTGAAGAACATCAAGATATTTAGATCATATTGAATAGTTATTTTTATTTTAATTTGCATTTTATTATTTGTATTTTTTAACAATAAATGCACATTTTGAATTTTGACTTTGACATAAAGCATTTTAATAATATTGAATACATATTATGTATTTTATATTTCAATTAAATATAAACAACAGAAAGTATAATGAAAATATTTAATTAAATCAATTGACCAATCAACATAGCATCAATGATTGTCCCTTTTTCAAGAATTGTTTGTGTATTAGTCCTACCCGGCAATTGCAATAATCCATTACAACTTTTTAAACTCATCATACAACTACTAATTTGATTACCAGTAGATGTAGCCATTAATTTATTATTCAAATGATCAAAGTTTATAATTATTCGATGATATTCTGGTCTTGGATCAAGTTTAATATTATTTCTAATCTATTTTCAAAAAGATTTTTTTTAGATTTTTTAGATTTTTTTTAAAAAAAAAATCAAATAATAATAATTACCTCAACTTTTACAATTGGAGATTTATAAATTTCATAACCAGACAATTTCTTAAGTACAGGTAATACAAATAAATAAAATGTAACTGTGGTAGAAACAGGATTTCCTGGTAAAGCAAAAATCAATTTTTTTGAGGGCTGTTTAAGTGTTGCAAAAGTAGTTGGTTTCCTTAATTATATGAAATAATAATATTATTATATATGCAAGTTGATTCTTTTGAATAATTTCAAAAATAATATACCCTGGTTTCATATTTAGTCTACCAAAATGTATAGTAGCACCTAAAGAATGTTCTAAGACAGGTTTAAGTAAATCATATTCACCCATTGATACACCACCTGTTGTTACAAGTATATCTACTTGATTTAATGCTGTTCTGATGGTTTTTTCCAACTCTTTTGCACTATATATATATATATATATATATATAACCAATTATTATATAAATATTCATACACATATAACGATATTACACATACTCATCACTAGCAATCCCAAAATCAAAAACTTCAAATCCAATAGCTTTTGCAATTGACAAAAGTGTAGGTCGATTACTATCACGTATTTGCCCATATTTTAGTTCATTTGTGTCCTTATAATCAATCACTTCATTACCAGTGGACAATATTCCAAACACCATTTTTTTATAAACTTTTACCTAATAATTAATAATAAAAAGGAAAAATATTATTTATTTTTATATTTATTTTTAGGTTTGACATAATAAAAAAATAAATCATTACTTCTTTAACTCCTACTGATGCCAAAACACCTATCTCACCACCTACAGCTGACACCAATTCACCTTTTCTAGCAACAATCATACCAATACTGGTGTCTGATCCAATCTCTCTAATATTTTCCTTACAATAAATAATTAAAATCAATATAACACCACAAAATATATACAAACAAATATTGTATAAATCCTATTTATTTACCATTTCATTTACTTGAACATGGATCTCCACAGATTGTTCAGTCAGATTATCTTCGGATGCTTTAACAAGAGAAGTATCTTCAACCATAACAACAGCATTAGCACCATTAGGAACAGGTCCTCCAGTTGTGATTCTAGCAATTTGACCTGATTTTATCATCAATTTTTCTGATCCAATACCACTAGCAATAGAAGTTCCCACAACAGGATAAATTCCTGGTCCATCACTTGCTACAATTAAAAAATAAAAAATAAAATTATTCAAAATTTATAATAATATAAATGTGTGCATATGAGAACATAAAAAAACACTAACTAATAACAGCATATCCATCGACAGTTGAAGCACGATACCCTGGAACATTTTCATTTGCCAAAACATCTTCTGCAAAAACATAACCAATCAAATTTTCATTGACAGGAACAGTTATAACAACTTTTGATAGTTCTTGAACATCATTTTCAATGATTTTCAATGCTTCTTCAACTGAAATCATTGGGTATGGTGATTTGCGTTGACGTTTTGTGACTTTTTCCCCACCAAAAAAAAATCAAATAAATAATAAATTAATAAAATTAATAAATTAAGAAAAATGATGTAGAAATTTAATCTTTACCAGGGCATGAAAGTAAATCAGGTTTAATTGTTTTCTGTTTATCATCATAATTATGATTATGTGAACAATCATGACCACCACCACTATTACCAGTTAATTTTGTATGAACATTTTCACCAGTGCCACCTTTAACTAAATCAATTGCATGAGGTAAGATGTTTATAATGGCTTCCAAATTTTCTTTTACAGCTTTAGGACTACCAGGTAATGTTATGACAATTGTCTCACCACGTATACCACTAATTGGTCTACTTAAGGCTGCAAATGGTGTTTTCTGAAGTGATGATGAGATCAATAAATGAGTTATCCCAGGTGATGTTTTATTTAATAAAGGTTGTATAGCTTCTGGTGTAATATCTCTGACACCAAATCCTGTACCACCTGTCGTCAGCACAACATCAAGTTTCTCCTTATCACACCATTGAATTACCACCTTTTGTATTTCAGTAAAATCATCTGGTACAACTTCTTTGTTGGCAATGTTAAATTGGTTTTTATATTTTTCTGATATTGAGGATGTTGATGTTGATAATAACTCAATAATAGTGGGACCACTTAAATCTTTTAATTTATCTTTTGAAGCAGTATCACTAACTTTTAAACATCATATATTATATAAAATACTATTATATTTTAAAAAAAGTTGAAATTAAGATCAATGTGGAAAGTTACATACTTGTTAAAACTCCAACATTATATGCTTTTAGTTATTTTATTTAATTATTTGAATAAAATTATCATTATTATTATTATTATTATTAATTAAAATGAACTTTAATTAAAAAATTATTACCTCGAGCCATTTTATTGCGCCATAATTGATGGGGTGTCCCACATCATATGATTTACAAACAGAGTCGATCACATATACACAGTGTATCTCGATTTAGTGGATTTAGGATAAATTTTCAAAACCAAATCTTTCTATAATTATTTTATCTCGATTTAACGGATTTAACGGATTTTTCATATATTAATATATTCGATTTAGCGGATTTTTTTTTTTTAAATCTACAGTATATGTTCGAGCATAATAAAAATATCTCGATACAACGGATAATGTCGATCATTAACTAATACAGACACAAAACGTAATTAAAAAAATCTTATGATTAGAGGCCTGCACGGGTCATCATAATAATAATGAATAAATACCCAACCCGAACCCGTACAAATTTACAATTGGTAACCCGAACCCGACTTGTACACAAAAAAATTATAAAAAACTCAACCCGAACCCGACTTGTACACAAAAAATTATAAAAATCTCAACCCGAACCCGAACTCAACCTGTTTTTTATTAAATGATGTTGTAACACGATTTTATTTATATTTTTTATAATTTAAACAAGTTTTTAAACGAAACGTGACAGCGAGCTTCGTGTCTTTTACTCACACAACGACATCACTCAGGTCAAGACAATAATAGTCTATTTTATCAATTCAAAAAAATACAAATAGAACGGCCGTCCCCACATTTTTTTTCGTTTTTTTTTTGTAGAGAAATTCCTCTCAGGCCATTTCAGCGCACAGAACTCAACTTTCTACAACGTCCCTGTCCATCTTCAAGCAATCAAGTTTACAGAAGATGAGCACATTCAAACCACAAAATCATTTTCACCACACAACGTTATACAAGATGGTCGAAAAATAAAAATACCACTGCGCCAAGTGTTTCATAGCATCACAATAACAAAAATACACAATTCAATTGATTCAATCATTTACATTTTAACCCACGCAATTGTTGATCGATCAATCAAAATCATGAATTTGATAACGTAAAAATAAACGTTAATATAAAACATTGATTCATCTTGTCAACAATCACTTCGCCAACAGTTGTTTCGTTAACAAATGGTTCGAATTTAAGAAGTTGGAAGCAACCATTTGAAATAGTCTAATAAATTAAATCGTATGGTGCGTCTAGTCTAGTCCCAGCAATTGACATAATAAGTGGCCAAATTTGAAAATTATATATGAACATAGGTGTAACTAGAGATGGGCAAATGGCGTATAGTTGAACACTATACAATACTTTACAATACTTTACGTATAGTGCGTATAGTGCGTATAGTAGTGTTGAAATTTGATTGGGTGATTTTCAAATAATAAGAAAAAAAAATTTTGGATATTACGATAAGCATAAATCTTTAATTTATTCAACCTACACCTTTTTAGGTTTATTTATGAATCATTAATTATATTGAATGAATTAAATATCAGCTTTGATGAAATTTTCAATTATGTTGTAATTTAAAATGTTCTCCAAAATAATTTCTTTTAATTTGAATTTGGCATTTGGACAAAGACGTAAATGTTTTTCACATCTAGATATTGAACTAGAACGTTAATGTTAAAATGTTGCCAAATTGCAGGCAAATTTAAAATATATATATCATGAGAAGAGTATTAATTAATTTTTATGTGTAATATTACATCTATTATTTGGCAATAACCTAAACAGGAA